TTACTTAATTCTCACATTTCATAATCACTCCTTTCTAGAAGAAACTGCATCAGCTTCTTGGGCATGAGAAGTTGTGAATTGGTTTCAATTCGATTTCTAGCATAGATATTTAGTTTCCTCAAAGTTGGGGCCAGAGCAATAGCACACTGGGTAGGGTTTTTGTTTTGCACACAGCCAATTTTCGTTCAATCCCCAGCATCCCGTATGGTCCCCCCAGCACTGCCAGGAGTAATGCCAGAGTGCAAAGTAGGTAATGCCTGAGCATTGCCAGGTGTGGCCCCCAAACAAAAGTCTTTCAAAGATGACCAGTCCTTTGATTAATTTTTATATGCCATAGAAGAGAATTCTTTATCTTTTCAAAGTGCAGCTTATAAACTGTTTTGTTAACACTTGAACTGTTAACTCCTGTTAATACTACTCTTGGTTGCTACTAAAACTATGATAAAGAAGAACCTTTCATTGTATAGCTACTAGTTATTTAGGTGCATTTCCCCTTGTTATCAGTCATCTTTCTATAAAGTCAGGAAACTAGTTTCACCGTCACTGTCCTCCCATTGTTCATCAATTTGCTCGAGTGGGCACCAGTAACGTCTCCATTGTGAGACTTGTTGTTACTGTTTTTGGCATCTCGAATACATCACGGGTAGCTTGCCAGGTTTTGCCATGCAGGCGAGATACTCTCGGTAGCTTGCCAGGCTCTTTGAGAGGGGCGGAGAAATCTAACCCGGTTCAGCCGCATGCAAGGCAAACACCCTACCCGCTATGCTATCCCTCCGGCCCGAATCTAGTTTAGTGTCGTTAAATAAGCTAGCCACGGTCAATGTGTAAGGGACTTGATTTGAACCGTGACGTCCATGAGTTTGTCTCCCCCTACCATGTTAACTCCAGTATTTCTACCATGGGCAGTGGAACCAGCTAGATCAGGGTGGGGTTTAACATTAGGGGCTCAGGGCTTTCAGAACAAACAGCCGGACGCATTCTTATCTGGAGCTGAGATCTGGGTTAGTGCCTGTGTGGAATAAACACTGCAGTATTAATGATGGCCCAAAAGAGTGAAGCAGGTGGTAAGCTCAGGTAAGATGAAGGAACAACAATTGACAACGCAAAGTGCATAAATGCATTCAGCATAGCATCATGAAGGAAGCTGAGAGTGTGGAGGGTTAGTTCTGATTTTAGCCTCTATAGCTGGCCGACTTGGGATATGGGGAGAGTCCCTTTCACCCGTCCATTTCCCCTTTCAGGAGAATGGAGCTCTGACTGAACTTCATCCGCATCCTTCGTTCTCAGTGTCCAGAGCTACCCTTCTGGTCACGAGGGACTTTGTCTATGCAGGATCCTGCTGAAAGCAGTGTGCCCTGGTTATGGAAAGGGGAGACTTGGTCCAGTCTCTTTCCAGAACTGAGAACCGTCTCCAAGCCTGATTCTTCAGTGATGGAAACTCTTGTTTCTCAGCTTGAGGGGAAAGAATCTTTGAGTTGAGAAAACTTGGAATACTGATGCGGGCGGGCACAGTTAATGTATCTGTTTTAATTAGGGGCCACACCGGGCAGTGTTCCAGGGCCTGGGCCTGACATGGCAGGGCTCAGCCCACATGCTCGGCGGTGCTCAGGGCCATACTTCAAGTTATTTTTGAAGCGATACTTAGATTGGGAGGTAGCAAGTTTTAATTGAAGGAGTTGGTATGCTATTCTTGAAAACGGGGGTGGGGGGGTGGAAGGGTGGGGAGTGGGATCTGCTGGTATTTTTACAAATTGGCAGACTTGTTTAATTAGCTGATCCGCAGTGCCAGTTCTGGAAAGAACAGATGTCCCTGTGCATTGTAAGGTAACATGCTTTGAATCCAAACACCAAATGTCGCCCTCAGTCTGTTGTCCCAGATGACAGAAGAGGGAACTGAAACTATAGTTCCAGAATCTAGAAGGCTTGCAGAGATTCTGAGTGGAGGTTTCTGTCGCTTATCTCTTATGCTGTTGCCCCAGACCAGTGGCAGTTATAAACATTCATCATTTCACCATTTTAGATACTCTCATGTAACATATAGATTCATGATATGTAGTAATGAGTTGCTGGGTGGAGGCATGAATTTGAGTAATGGGTACCACGGTTTGGTGTGTGGGAGTGGGTCACTGAGCTAATAAGACAGTCTAGCTAATATTGTTCTTTCTTGGTGGTGCAGAAAATTATATGCTATGAAACAGAACTTCCCAGAGTAAGATCTAGAGAACACCTGTTAATAAGCGTTCCATGGCTGTTAAAAAGAAAGAAAAGAGAAAGTTTAAGGTGACATTGGGTTAAACAATGTTTGAGCCAGTTTTCCTGACTTAGTTTCCACACCTGCAAAGCAGGGTGATAAAAATAGTTCCTCCTTTATAGGATCTGTTATGGCAATTTAAATGAGATTTAAGTGTATAACTTTTGTCAAGGAGAGTATCTAATACTGTGAGTACTCAAGTTATATACAGTTTCTCTTTCACTAGAAGGAAATGTGGGATTGACTTAAGTTAACTCTACAGATACGCTGGAGATGGCCCAAATACAGAGGAAATCTCTAATACATATCTCTGTACCAGCTTCCCCACCCCATTTTTATTTTTTGGCTTTTTGGATAACACACGGTGATGCTCAGGGGTTACTCCTGGCTCTGCACTCAGGAATTACTCCTGGCCGTGCTCAGGGAACCATGTGGGATGCTGGAAATGGAACCCAGGTCAGCCGCGTGCAAGGCAAACGCCCTACCTGCTGTGCTATTGCTCTAGTTCCTTCCCCCCTTTTTTATATGGACAAAAGAATTGGTGAAATTTGCAAAGCTTTCCTCCACTTACTGCATTGGCCTCAGCCCCATCAGACTTGTCCTCTTATCTCTTCTTTCTCCTTGCTGGTCCATCATCTGCCTGTCACAAGACTGCACAGGTGCAGGTGGAGGATTTGCACTGCAGGCAGGCTGACTTGATCCACGTGCCTCACCTTACCAGGTCGAGTCCCTCTAGTTTGAGGTATACAGTGGCAGTGCGGTGCCAGAGTGCTGCAGGGCATTGCCATCTCTGTGGTTTGACCTCACGAGGATACGTGGACTGAGGCAGCTGGGAGTATTCCTGGCAGGACTGCGTGCAGCAGGGGCTGTTCTAGGCCCAAAATAAACTGTCTTCGTAAGGCCCTACCATTTTTTAAAAATTGCTCCTGCTTGCGTCATAGCTCTCCCGGCTGTTCAAGCTCCACCATTTCTCCACCTTTAAGCAACTGACAGATCTTCTCGACTGTACTTCCAGGGGGTTGCTCAAATGTGACTTTCTATGTTTGCCTTCTGCTCCCTGGTTCAGCCTCCCCATTACCTCTCCCAGGCATTTCTGCCGTGATTTCCAAAGCAGTCTCTGCCTCCCCCGCTCTACTTCCTCCCTCCCCACTCCAGCCAGCTTGGGTCTCACTCTATTTTGAGCAGGTCCCTACTCCACAGCATGTGTTGTTGTACTACACCCCTCCTCATGACTCTCAAGACTGCTTACAGTCATTCCCCAATTGACCTTTCCGCACCAGGAACTTTTCTTTTCTCCTCCTTTAACCTTTGCACGAGAGAGCTAAATTTCACTGCAGAGCTAAATCTGCCTTTGTACTAACAAAACGTTAGCATTTTATAAACTCCCAATATGACTGCATTGCATTCTGGCACTGCCTTTGTGACAGCAGCGTCTGTCCTGTTTGACAGATGAGGAAACACCCAGAGAGGCTTCATAGTCTTTGTTGTCTTTTCTAATGTGCAGGGCTCCCCCTGCTTTCTAAACTTTGTGCAGACCGGGCCTTTCCCCAATCCAGGATCTCTGCATCCCTTCAGATCTCTATCAAACTTGCCTTAGGAAATTATTTCAAGTCACAGTGAACTGCCATTAGCCTCTGTCAAACTTAGCAGATATTTGTGATCCTGCCTTCTGCCTTATTATTTTCCTACATGCCTTATCTCTCTTCCTAAAGTATGAGCATCTGTATCTGTAAGGTAGGATTTATGTCCCGAAAATCTTGGTATCTAGTTCGGCACCTGGCACCTAGTGTTAGATGGGTGGATGGATAAACGGGTAGGAGGAAAGGTAAGTGGAAACTGTGTGTATTCTTTGGCGAAAATGTTGGCTGCTCATCTGCTCACACAACTCTTCCATTTGTCTAGATGATTCCTAGGTTCCCCAAATATGACAGTCAACCCCAACAGTTGCTCTCAAGGTTTCTATGCTTGGCCCTGTAAGTGCCCTGATTCCTCATGGTTTTGACACACCTCATGAGTAGCTGTCTTCTGAGCTCCTCTAGACAGAATGTCTTACTCCGGCCACTGACTTCCTACAGAAGTATGTGTACAGCCCTCCAAGAATTTCATCTTGTTATATGAATTACAAATTGTAGACTTTGCTCCCGTCAGTCACTGTTCTCAAACATGCCCAGCATGCTACTTACCAATTGCATTCCCTAGCCCATTCTTTATCTCTGCACTCTTCCAAAGATCATAGATGGTGGATCATGTCAATTCAGTTTTATAGGTGGCTAATGAGAAAAATGGAGCTTTGAGAATCATTTCCTTAGAGTTACACAGCTGAGTATCAGAAATACCTCAAACCTGGATATGTATCTGCTTTGCAGTGTCTTATCTGTCCCCACCAGGTACTACCTAACAGAGGTAGATGGCGATTCTGTTTGTTAAATAAGTAAGTAAATGGGTGACTGGTAACTAGCCTCTAAATAGTTCCTTCACGACTTGAGGATTAAATGATGTTTCTTGGGGAGGGCATTTGCTTTGCATGTGGCTGATCCATATTAGATCCCCTACATCCCATTATGGTCTCTGGAGCACCGCTAGGAGTAATTCCTGAGTTATAGAGCCAGGAGTGACTCCCTGAGCATCGCCTGGTGTGACCCCCCGCCCCAAAAGCCTAAATAAATAAATAAATAAATACTGTTTCTCCTCCTTTGTCAGCAGGACCTGACCCTCCAGAGCATGAATGCTGAGCTGCTTCATTCTGGGCTGTGAGGATCCCGCTTAAGGAACAGCCATGGCGGCCGCTGCCGCATCTCACCTGAACCTGGATGCCCTCCGGGAAGTGCTAGAATGCCCCATCTGCATGGAGTCCTTCACCGAGGAGCAGCTGCGCCCCAAGCTCCTGCACTGTGGCCACACCATCTGCCGCCAGTGCCTGGAGAAGCTCCTGGCGAGCAGCATCAACGGTGTCCGCTGCCCCTTCTGCAGCAAGATCACCCGCATCACCAGCCTGACGCAGCTGACCGACAACCTGACGGTGCTGAAGATCATCGACACAGCGGGCCTCAGCGAGGCCGTGGGGCTGCTCATGTGCCGGGCCTGTGGGCGCCGCCTGCCCCGCCAGTTCTGCCGGAGCTGTGGCGTGGTGTTGTGTGAGCCCTGCCGGGAGGCCGACCACCAGCCCCCCGGCCACTGCACCCTCCCCGTCAAGGAGGCCGCCGAGGAGCGGCGCCGGGACTTCGGCGAGAAGCTGGCCCGCCTGCGGGAGCTGATGGGGGAGCTGCAGCGGCGGAAACTGGCCCTGGACGGCATCTCCAAGGACCTGCAGGCCAGGTACAAAGCTGTCCTCCAGGAGTATGGGCACGAGGAGCGCCGGGTCCAGGAGGAGCTGGCCCGTTCACGCAAGTTCTTCACGGGCTCCTTGGCTGAGGCTGAGAAGTGCAACAGCCAGGTAGTGGAGGAGCAGAGCTACCTGCTGAACATTGCCGAGGTGCAGGCCGTGTCCCGCTGCGACTACTTCCTGGCCAAGATCAAGCAGGCCGACGTGGCGCTCCTAGAGGAGACGGCCGACGAGGAGGAGCCGGAACTTACGGCCAGCCTGCCCCGGGAGCTCGTCCTGCAGGATGTGGAGCTCCTTAAGGTAGGCCACGTGGGCCCCCTCCAGATCGGCCAGGCTGTCAAGAAGCCCCGGACAGTCAACTTGGAAGACTGCTGGGCCCTGGAGGCAGCGGCAGCGGCGGCAGCCTCCTCCTCCTCCGTGACCTTCCGCGAGATGGACATGAGCCCCGAGGAGGTGGTGGGCAGCAGCCCGCGCGCCTCGCCGGCCAAGCAGCGGGGCCCCGAGGCTGCCACCAGTATCCAGCAGTGTCTCTTCCTGAAGAAGATGGGTGCGAAAGGCAGCACGCCCGGCATGTTCAATCTGCCCGTCAGTCTCTACGTGACCAGCCAGGGTGAGGTGCTGGTCGCTGACCGGGGCAACTACCGCATCCAGGTCTTCACCCGCAAAGGCTTCCTCAAGGAGATCCGCCGCAGCCCCAGTGGCATTGACAGCTTCGTGCTGAGCTTCCTGGGCGCCGACTTGCCCAACCTCACCCCACTGTCAGTGGCCATGAACTGCCACGGGCTGATCGGCGTCACCGACAGCTACGACAACTCCCTCAAGGTCTACACCCTGGATGGCCACTGCGTGGCCTGCCACAGGAGCCAGCTGAGCAAACCTTGGGGCATCACGGCCCTGCCATCGGGCCAGTTCGTGGTGACGGATGTGGAAGGTGGGAAGCTCTGGTGCTTCACCGTGGACCGGGGCGCTGGGGTGGTCAAGTATAGCTGCCTCTGCAGTGCCGTGCGGCCCAAGTTCGTCACCTGTGATGCCGAGGGCACTGTCTACTTCACGCAGGGCCTGGGCCTCAACCTGGAAAACCGGCAAAACGAGCACCACCTGGAAGGCGGCTTCTCCATCGGCTCTGTGGGCCCTGACGGGCAGCTGGGGCGCCAAATCAGCCACTTCTTCTCGGAGAACGAGGATTTCCGCTGCATCGCTGGCATGTGCGTGGACGCCCGCGGGGATCTCATTGTTGCCGACAGCAGCCGCAAGGAGATTCTTCACTTCCCCAAGGGAGGGGGCTACAGCGTCCTGATTCGGGAGGGGCTCACCTGTCCCGTGGGCATTGCCCTCACCCCGAAGGGGCAGCTGCTGGTCCTGGACTGTTGGGATCACTGCATCAAGATTTACAGCTACCATTTGAGAAGATATTCCACCCCGTAGAGGGTGAGGAATCGCCAGTTTCTTCCCTTTCCCCCCACCCCTACCCCCACCTCAGCCAACTTTCCTTCCCTTATACCATGGTGGTTGGTGGTGCTGTAGAATAGACTTTGGCTTGTGTTCCGTTGCCAGCTCGTTAGTCCTAGAACTTTAGAAGCTCTGTCCTTGAGTGTGTTATATTTGCATTTGTATTTTTTCCCATGCCACCCCCCTGCCCTATCCCCCTCCCTAAATTTAGAGCTTTGGCAGATGCATTGCCCCAAATAGGACACTTGGTGGGATTAGCTGAAGTTTTATTAGAATTTAGGCCCTTTTCAAGGCGTCAGTAGAGAGTCTTTTACGTCTGTGTTGGCAATTTGCTCTTCTATTGAATCTTGTTGATTTTCCCCTTTATGGCTCTGCTGACCCTAGTTCCTTATTTCCTTCCTGTTACAGTGGGCTTCGTCTGTGACACTTTCTCTTCAGCCCCGCTGCATTGAGTGCATGCTTTAGTGGGATCCACTCCACCTTCCCGTGATATTTTGGATATCGTGTCCCTGTGATCTGATCACCTTTACCAGTATAAAAAGCTCATTCATTTAGTGCCACCACGGGAGCTATACATTAACTTTGGGAAGCAATACCTCTTGGCTCTGGGGTTTTTGTGCCATCTTGGATTGGTCTATAGTTGCAGATGTGACAGAGAACGGATTTTCCCTAATTGGCTGGTGCTGAAGACTTTAGCCTGGAAACTGCTTGCCTTTTAAAGGAGCATATGGATTGGAATTATGCCAAAGCATAGGCAGATGGGAATAAACAAACGGAAATACTAATGTAGTCAGCAAACACTATTGGGTAGTCTTTAGGGCTCATCATTTTTCATACTACCTCTCTCTGCTGACCTGTGCAAAGCATTACCCGAGTAATTGTACCACACGGGCCAGTGCCAACAAAGTGGGGAGGGTGGACACATCTAATTTTCATTACTAAAACAGAACTGTTGGATCCTTACTCTGTATATTTCCTCAAGTGAGTGCATACTATTTGGAATTGACTCCTCTATCAAACATTAAATAATCGAGAACTATTTCTTCATCACTGGTGTTTATGTCTTTTACTTGTGGAATTTGGGGGGTGAGGAGAGTCAGTTGAATACCATGCTGGTTGACTTCCTTTTATGACACTATATTCTTGGAGAACATTTAGAATCTACCCAGACCAAAATTCAGCACCAAAGCACCACTGTGTAAAGTTAAATCTCACTCCTTGGCCCCTATGGATTAAATTTGCCAGCACCCTATTCTACATGCAGTTTTCACCATCAGTTTTATCCTTATAATTACTGATCAAGAAAAAAAAAGAAGAAGCAGCTCTACTCTTTTCAATAAGTGGATGAGGGATTTGGTGGTAAATAAGGTTCCTGAGACTTTGTTGTTTACAAAAGAACTGTGTCCAGTACACAGTTAGGTGCTGGGCTTATGTATGGCAAACCAAAGGAAACAAAATGTACTGCCCTGAGCTACTCAAAAGTCGTTTATTATTTTTGGTCTGGGAGGGGTTTGTTTTATTGGGGATTTTGTTGTTGTTTTCTGTTCTGATAGCTGCCAAAGGAAAGCAGATAATTAAAGTGATGCTGAACTAGTTTGTGTTTTCCACCTGGAGAAAGCCCCATGTTCTGATTATGAAATTGCATCCAATTTTCAAAGATTGAGAGGAAATTGATCCAATTAAAAGTGCATCACAAATGACTCCACTGGTTATTAGAGTCACTTTATCTCTGATGGCAGCTGGCAGCAGCAGATCTGTCTTTGCTGTCAGTGGGGGGCTTGCTGAGCCAGTGGCAGTGGTGGGGGCCTTGAATGCACAGTTTGTGGCCGAGAGATGAATATTGTGCGCTGGCTTGAGATAAAGGAGGCCAGGAATCCTGTCGCTGCCAGTGCTTTGGGGAAGGAAGAACCATCACTGGCAGTGAGCCTTTAGATCAAGCTTACCTCTGACCCACACTAACACCTTGGCCCTCAAGTTCAGCAAAAGATACCTGCTGGCCTAAAATGGAAGTAAGTGTGGTTTGGAGGTTTTTCTTCCTTTGATGTGGATAAATTTGTCTGTGCTTAGTACAGTCAATTTTCAATTATCTACCAGGTTGACTGAACTGCTTAGTATGCCCCAAGAAATAAATTTGTTCAATTACTGTATTTTTTTTCCTCCCCAAAGCAGAAGATCCCTTATTTAAATGAAGTCTTAGATGGAAGTCTGTCTTGTACATCAGTGAGCAGTTGCTCTGGTTAAAGCAGGTTCGTGGGCACCTGGAGAACAGGTTTTACTCCTTTACCTAACCTGTGTATCCTCACAACACTTGTGAATCCAGCGAGCACTTGCTGAACACCACTGAACTAGAACAATGCTCATCTTCCTGTTACCTCTCTTTTCGGGGGCGAAGGGGGGCGTTGTTCTACACCCGGCCAGGCTTGGGGGCTACTCCTGGCTCTGAAACAGTGGCCAGGGATCTAACTTCAGCTGGCCATATTTAAGGCAAGAGCCTTAATTAACCTGTATTGTCTCTAGACCATCTAATCCCTTTTATTCGCCATGTGGCATGGACAAAAATCATTTAACCTTTCCTCTTCCAGAAGATAATAATAATGATCCCTTACCTGCAAGAAGGGTGTAAGATTTGAGTATGAACTCTTGGAGTTCCTGGCATACTTAATAAGTGAGAGTTACTACCTTCTTTTATTGAGTTGTTTAAAAGAAGTGATGTGAGGCCAGCCAACAGAATCTCCCTGAGTATTTAACAGGTTCTTTGTAGGCAACCAGAATTTGTCTTGAGCGTTAACTTTCTATCCTCACAAGGCTCTGTGAAAAATCTAATCACGTGTTTCTTTCCACTCTCAATTTACTCATGTTTTTGTTACACAGATCACTGCTGCAAACATTTGCCCATAACTCTTGAGTTTTATGAAGGGCCCACTTTAATGTCAGGGTATGAGCATGTGAAATAAAGGTGCCAAAATAAAGGGAATGTTCTAAGTTCCTACATTTGCTTTTATTTATATGATTTAATTTTCATGATGATGGATCTTCCAGTAATCCAAGTCTTCCTAATACACCCTCCCTTATGTCAGATAGAAAGGTGCAATTAGCAAGGCATATAAGGAAAATAAACAACTAAAGGCGCCCAAATGTCAGGTGAGTTAAGCCGCTACTTCCTTTTCCTTTCTGAATATACAGGATTTAAGGTTTGGGAGCAACTATTCCTTCAGTATTAATTGTGCATCTACTGCAGGCAAGGCATTGCAACAGACATTCAGAAAATGGAGTGACATTTATTAATGTGCTAATTGAGACAAATTATCTCACAGTCTTCAAAATGAACCTAAAGGTTAACTATTTGAAGTATACTAGGAAAAATGTTGACTCTGAAAAGTGAAAATGGAATCAGTCTTTAAAAATGTGTGTATATATTGAACATAGAAACACAAATGTGCACACACACACACACACGCACGCATTGGGTTTTTGGCCACAACTGGTGTTGCTCAAGAATTACTCCTGGCTCTGCTCAGAGATCACTCCTGCAGGCTTGGGGGACCATATGGGATGCCAGGGATTGAACCTGGGTCAGCTGTGTGCAAGGCAAGTGCCCTTCTCCGGCCCCAAACACCTTAAATATTTAGAATCCAGTGTTTCATTGTCCTGGACTTCCTCCAAGACAATGTCTGGATGGCTCTGAGAATCACTCCCAAGATACATGTCCCAGAGATGAGCCATAAAGGGGCACTCCATTATCCCAATCACTGAGATCAACTTATCTTGAGCTTAACAGTGGTCCTGTGGGTAAGGCAAGAAATGCTTAAGTAGCTGCACTTTTAATCGAGTACTAATTAGTGGCCTTTTACAAGCGAGCTGTTGCCCACCCCGGTAGGAGGGAGACAGAAAGCAGAGCCCTGTATGAAACTCAGGGCTATCTTACACCTCCCCAGGCTGCCGATTTTCTCCCAAAACATGCTGTCCAAAAGACTGCAGAACAAATTACAGATAGGAAACAGCAGATGCCTGGATGAATTTTTACAAGCAGGGCAAGGATGAGGTAGAAAACTGTTTTGCAAAATTCACACTTTAGCTCCAGACCCTAGGGTCTTGTCTGATCGATATCATTAATATTCATGGTACCCTCATGAAGCCTGAACTTAGGAAGATGGTTCCAAGTGTCACAACACATTCTAGCAGGGCAATCTCCACGACTTGGTCTGAGTCTGATTCACTGCCCTCTACCTCTGCCTTCCAGTTTGCCTCCTTACATCCTGCCTCTCTCAGTTTGCCTCCGTACAAAATAAGGAGGTTGGATTAGCTCCTTAGTGATATCACCTCTTGCTCTTGAGATTTATTTTTTTCTTAGTGGGGCATCAGGGGTGGTTAATCACTGGAATTCCAGTGATGCGTTCTAACCATGAGCCACATCCTCAGCCCGGTTGTACTTTTCATGTTTGCGGTTTCATTTGGTTATTGAGCCATACCCAGCTATGCTCAGGGACTTGTTGCTTAGAGGTCACTCTCAGAGGTCCTGGGAGGACAATTCACTGCCAGAAATCAATGCAAAATACTCTACCACTGTCTCAAAACCTGCTTTTTCCTGGCCACTCTTTTGGGTAGGTTGAGTCACACCTGGCAGTGCCCAGGACTAACTCCTGGCTCTGCACTCAGGGGTCATTGCTGGTGATTCAGAAATGGGGGCCCCATATTTAGTGTTTGGCATCAAACTCAAGTCAGCTGCATGCAAGGCAAGAGCTTAAACCCTATGCTCTCTCTCCCCAATTAAATTTTAACCACATAGTATTGTGGTTGGATTTCCTCCCAATATTTTGCATAATGTTTGCTGTTATTCAATTATGTCCACAATAGGGCAGTAGAAATAACCAGCACTTATCACCCCCCATCTTGTTCCAATGGCATGTTCTACTCCAGATATCGGAACTTTGGTCATTTACTAGCTGGCATCACTCAATAGGGCTAGTTTGCTCAGTTGGCAAAAGGAAATAACAAGTTTATGTTTGAAAGGGCCACTGTGAGAATTGAAAAATAATGACATCCTATATGTAAAGGTAATTCACAAAATATTAACTTCTACTACGAGGTGGGGGGGGCGGAGTAGGGTGGCAAAGTTTCCCTTCTCCTGCTGTGAATTCACACAGAATTTTCAAGTCAGGTCTGCAGGAGATTTTGGATTTGTGTTGGTGCTACAAGAGCTCAGCTGGAGGAAATGTGGGCGTTTGCTGAGGGAACAGAGGCAAAACTCATTCACAGCAATGCAGTCTATGAAAAAAAAAGCTGCCTGAAACCTAAAGGCTAATTCTTTGATTAAAATAATTAGCAGAGCGTTTTTGACTCTGAAAAGTTAGATGGAGCCGAGATGTTATCTGGGCGTGTGTATAGATATTTAGCACAGGAAAATGAATGTGTATAGATAGGTAAACATATCGATGGCTAGTATAAAAGGATTCTTACTCCAAGCCAGCAGTTATTCACTTAACATAATTAAAAAAAAATAAAAATAAGGTCTGAATTTCACCATTAAGTGGAGGTAATAAAACACTTGGTGGTTAAAGCTTGGACTTCATAAGCCTGGGGACCCGAATTCAATCCTAGTTTTCCTATTTTCTAGCTCTGTATGCACTGAGTCATTTAGCCTCTCCGCCTCATTGTCCTCATTAGGACTAAAATGACACTGTTCACTGCATTATTCGGGAGACTATTCATTGAAATGAGAGTGAACTCCCAAATATTTCATATGTCTTCAGTAATGGTAATTTTAAAAGAATTATAGTAAGCTAAATGTGTCTGAAGGCTACCTTTCCTTTTATGATAAAGATATTATATGAAACTGATGAGGAAAAAGCCATCTTTTTCCATCTAAGAAAAACACTGAAAGCTGAAAATCTGAGAATAGGCAGAGCTGCTGCAGTGAGACTGTGTGTAAGTCAAATGCATCTCCTATACAAATGAAACAGGGTTTCTGTGTGGGTTTCAATCATTTACCAGAATATAACTATAATGACGTTGTATATTTTTCAAAAAATACTAAGATCCAAGATTCC